TAAAACACCTATATTTTGGGGCCGGGGAGATGGCTCAGTGGAATAAGCGCTTCCCTAGTAAGTTCAAGGGCCTGAGTTCAATCCCTGGTTCCACAAAAAACTATATTTTAAGTGTTATTTCATGATTTTAATCTACCTATAACCATGCAACATGTCTATCCGCCTAGAAAACCACCCTATATTTCTTAGCAGGCTCCTTCCTCTCCAGGCAACCAGGGGTTATCTTTTATCACTGAAGTACATCTCCAAGGAATTGATCTGAGGGTGATGGCCTTTCAAAGATTTCAGTGTCCAAATGGACCAGTTACGATGCCCCCCTTCTGCATTAAACTGAATCTACTTACAAGCTCCTTTTAACTATTCACCAATGTTAAATTTAGGTCCCCCCCCCAAAAAAATTTTTTTTTGGTGGTACCAAGGATCAAATTCAGGACCTTGTGCTTCCCAGGCAGGTGCATATGCTATTGAGCTATCTTCTGGCCCCTAAAACAATTATTTAAAAAAAAAAAAAAAAAAAAAAAATAATAATAATATATATGTATTTTACTGAGTATTGGAAAGATTCTGACATAAGAAGAGATAAGCCTAAAATAATGTGCAACTTGTATACATACAAAAATGCATATAACTGCAAGAAAAGGTTTCAGAGTATACATTACCTAGACTTCCCAATTTCTATTTAAGTTCAGTTATCCTTTCTTGAGCGTGAAGGTCATATACAGTTATAGTGATGGACAAAAAGTTACAATGTGTTATAGGGAATGAATATAAAACCCAGAGGCCATGATCTTCACATAGAAGCGTGTTTAAATATGTGGGATGTACTTGGCCCTGCGCCAGTAACTTCGGACTTAAAAGTATACCTACAGAAAGTCAGAATACCAGAGGACACTAGGCACTTAATCAAATACTTCAAAAGAACATTTTACAAAAAAAGGAAATACAGGAAAAATAATGCTTCTACAGATAGTGCAGGTCAGGCCAGAATGAAGGAAGAACAGAAGGATGACAGGTCTGAGAACTATTACTAATAATAAATCTTGCTAGTCTGGTGCTCTTCCCTTTAAATCAACCTAGCAAACAAGTATCTAAATGCTTTTAAACAGACAGCTAAGGGCTCCTTCTTTGCCAAAAGGTCCTTTAAGCTATTATCTTCATTATTCATCTGAAACACCAAAGTTTACCCAAAATTTCCTGAGGGAGACAGCCACTGAATACAGTACCCTCGTATGTTCATGTCAGCATGTAGAACTTTTTTAAATTTAATATTTAATAGAGAGTCTACAGGGTCTCACTACACAGACTGGACTCATAGTGACTGGCGCACGCCACCGTGCCCAGTCTCCTTCACTACTGCAGCACACCCTGGGGGCAGGGCCTGCACGGCACGCCGGGAAGGGAACCATGGTCCCTGTGCCTTGCCTAAGCTTTCGTCTGCTGAGCTATCTGGTCGGCCCTAGCATGTAAATATTTTAATAAACACTTCTTTTTACCTTCCAATTCCAGGTAATGAATCAGGAAACCACGATAGTTCCAGTTCCTGTCTCTTCTGTCTAATCAATGCACTGATTTCACTGACTTCTGTAAAGTCTGTACTAAAAGATAAATTTAGACCTTCATCAGAATTCCAAATGTCAAGAACAGCAGTAGTTCTCATACAGAGTATTATGATATTTATGAAAATAAATTTTTACTATTTAAACACTTCTATATAAAATTAAATACAATTTTGTATCATAAATAAAAAATTATTTACCTAAATCCTAAAAATAATGTCTTAATTTTTATCATCTAGTTACAGAACTTTTAAAGAGTCATTTCAGATTAGTAATTGCATTAATGAGAGAAATTCTAGGTGTAGTAGCTTCCCTTCTAATACATAAAACAAATGAAAACAAAGGTGGGTATGTTTACAACCAAAAATGAATACAATTCACCTTTTCAAAAGGTTGAGGTAACTGTTTCCTCAGTACTTTGCCCATTAAATCACACAATCTTAGTCTAACATGTTGACTGGATACCCAAGCCTAATCTTCAAATTCCACAAATATCTACTGAGCATTAATTGCCAGTCCCTTCAGATTCAAAGATGATGGGATCTACTCTGAATGCATTCTGCTTTATTAGGTTCTACTCCAGCAACTTAACAATAACCCAATAACAATATAACAATACTGTACAGACAACTTTTTCTTTGCGGTACCAGGGATCACACTCTAGACCTTGCACTTGCCAGGCAGGTGCGTATGCTACTGAGCTATCTTCCTGACCCAGAACAACTTACCACAGCAAACTCATTATTATGGCACATGTCGGCTTTGTACAACAGAGAGGCTGACAATACAGGTTTCTCTTTGCTAGGGCTAGTTTGTTTTCCAAATGAAAAACAAAACAAGATGAACTTTCATAACTTTTAATTGAGCCCAGAGTTTAAATTTCTACCAAAGTTAATTATAATGATCTATCAAGGATAATGAGCACACATTAAAAGTACAAAATACTAACCAGTAAGCTCTATAGGTAAAGGAAGATTCTCCATTGTGGCTACCAGAAGAAAATATATTGGAGAAAAAATTTCTGAAGCAATAACTCGTGCACTGATTTGATCTTCGAGGCTAGAAATGTACAGAGTAGTTAGTGAAACACAAAACAAATGTAATTCCATATTTGTATGTACTTGAGGCACTAGAGTTATGTGCTATGTAACCATTAAGTGTTATCACTTATTAAAAAATTTATTTCAACAACAATTTCAATAACAAACCTTATCGATCTTTATTGGTGCATTTTTCTTTCCTCCCATTTTACTGTATGAAGAGTTCCCTGTACAAAAACACAAAGGACTTGGTTACTTTGCCTTAATTTTATTTAAAAAGGCTGCAAACCTTTGATATTGTCAAGAGAAAGTTAAAATACACGAAGAATGGACTTACATTTATACAATTTTCTCACATGATGTCATCTTATCCATCTAAGCTATGAAGATGAGAAAAATACCAAGGCAAAAAATAAAAACTGCTCTGCTCGAAGTGTACAACCATTAACATTCTAGTCAACATTTTCTGTCTGCCACCCTATGATGCCTTAAACTATCTTGTACCAGAAGGCATAAACAAATCATCATACTGTGTAGTATCAATGATATGCTTAAAAAGTAAGTATTGCTGGGCTGGCTTTTGTTTCTTTTTTCTTTTCCTTTTTTTTTTGGCGGTACCAGGGATTGAACTCAGGACCCTGCGCTTGCCAGGGTCCTGAGCTATCTCCCTGGCCCTGGCACTGGCCCTGGGCTGGCTTTTCTAAGGTAGGCACTGCACAGTGGAAAAGAGGCCACACTACACAGGCACCCACTTCAAGTCAGTACTCTCTCTCTTTTTCAAATAGAAGTGTTCATTAAAATACCTTTTCAGGACATGTCATCAATATTCAAAGCTCAGTAACATTTTGCCCTATTATTCTTGCTTTTGCTGTCTTCCGCCACCATGAGCTGCTGCCCTCTGCCACGCGTCACCCTGTGCCGGAGCCAGCTGATTATAAGACTAAAACTTCCACAAACTGTGAGCTAAATAAAACTTCTCCTTTTTAAAAAAAAAAAAAACAAAAACAAAAAAACAAAAAAAAACCTTTCCTTCCTTTAAACAAACAATCACCATCACTACCAAAACTCAATAGCTTTTCTTTCCTTTCCTTTCCTTTCCTTTCCTTTCCTTTCCTTTCCTTTCCTTTCCTTTCCTTTCCTTTTCTTTTCTTTTAAATGTACTTGGTACAGGGTCTCACTATACAACTTGGACTCTGATCCTCCTGTTTTCAGCCTCCCCAGTGCTGGGATTATAGGCGTTCAACAACATGCCAGTTTCGGTGGTGGGCTCAGCATGCCTGGAGGTGTGGCATGTGGTACCAGGAATTGAACCCCAGTCCCTGCTTGCCTACTCAGCCCCTTAGTCTGCTGAGCTATCTCGCTAGCCTTCAATAGCTTTTCTATTCACCAATAATGAATTAGCTGAGAAAGAAACCAAGAAAATAGTTCCATTTACAGTAGCTTACAAAAATTATCCTGACAAATGGCATGGTGTGCACACCTGTAATATCAGCACAAGAGAGGCTGAGGCAGGAAGACTGCGGTGAGTTTGAGGCCATCTGGGACTACACAATGAGTTAAGTCCTGACAAAATCCTCCTTGCCCTGCACTAAAAACAAAAAACTCCCCCAATCAATCAATCAATCAATCAATCAATCAATCAATGCAATAATATCCTAATCAAGAAGTAAGTAAAGGGCCAGGGAGATGGCTCAGTCGAATAAGCGCTTCCCTGGCAAACACAAAGGCCTGAGTTCAATCCCTGGTTCCGCCAAAGAAAAAGTTCTTTGTAAGAAGTAAGTGAAAGTCCTCTACAGTGACAATTACAAAACACTGAAGAAACTGAGGAACACCAGTAGGCGGGAAGACCTCTTATGCCACAGATCAGCAGGATTAATAGTAAGATGCCCATGTTACCAAAAGTGATCTGCAGTTTGAATGTAATCCCCCGCAAAATTCCAATCACATTCTTCATACAACTAGGAAAAAAAAAATCCAAAAATCCATTGAAAACATGACAGACCCAAAATACCAAAGCAATCTAAGACTAAAGGAATCACTCCACAGACTTCAAGTTATATTTCGAAGCCATACAGTAACAAAAACAGCATGGTACTGATCCAGAAAGACACACAGAACAATAAAATAGAATAGAGGCCAAGAAAATAAGCCCATACAAGTGTAGCTATCTGATTCTTGACAAAGATGCCAGAAACATACCTTGGAGAAAAGACAGCTTCTTTAACAAATGATGCTAGAAGAAGTGGGTATCTGGCTATAGAAGATTTAATCTAGATTCCTAGCTCACTCACTCTACAAAACTCAATTCAAAATGAATCAAAAAACGAGACGTAAGACCTGAAACTTTGAAACTACTAGAAGAAAATGGAAACACCTGAAGCCATTGGCATAGGCAGACCTTCTGAACAGGACTCCAACAACACAAGAAATAATACCAAGAATGAACAAAGGGGACATCAAATTAAATTTCTACACAGAAAAAAAAAAAAAAAAAAAAAAAGCCAGACTAAAGAGGTAGCCTAAAGAATGGAAAAAAATCATTCCCAGCTACTCTTCTGACAGAGGATTAGTATCTAGAGTATATAAAGAACTCAACACCAACACACAGACACATACAGACACACATACACAAACACTCCACAAATAGCCCAAACACTGAATGGATAAATGAAATTCCCCAAGAAGCCCAAATGGCCAATAAGAATATGAAAAAAATATCACAGATCTATAGCCATTAGAAAAATACAGATCAAAACTACACTGAGATTCCACCTCACTGATACCACAATAGCTACAGGAGGGGAGATAGCTCGGCAGCATAAGTGCCTGCCTGGCAAGCGCAAGGTCCCAAGTTTGATCCCTGGTACCACATGCTGTGCCCAGATCCCAGGTACACCCATGCCAGCCCTGGAATCAGGCGTGGTGGCACATGCCTTAATCCCAGGTGCTGGGGAGGCTGAGACAGGAGGAGCACTATGAGTCTGAACTGTTTAGCAAGATGTTGTACCAAATAAATAGGCTAACATCAAGAATATAATAATAATTGCTGCAGGTAAAAAGAACCACACTCTCCCCCAATGCTGGTAAAATGTGAGTTACAGCCATTATGAAAACCATACAGAAAAATTTCTCCAAATAACCAGAAGTAGAGCTACCATAGGAGCCAGCTATACCACTCGGTAGAATTAAAGTCAGCATCTATGGGGATAACAGCATATTCATGTTTATTACAACATAATTCATAACAGCCAAGATAGGGAGCCAGCATAAGCGCCCATTGACAGAATAACGAAATTATGATATATAAAGACAATGGAGGGCTGGAGAGATGGCTCAGTGGTCTAAAGCACCTACTTAGAACAAGCTTGGCAAGGCATCAGGGACCGCGGTTCGATCCCCAGCACCACATGCCAGCCAGCCCCGCCCCCTGGTGGGCTGAGCTGGCCACACACACACACACCACTCTCTCTCTCTCTCTCTCTCTCTCTCTCTCTCTCTCTCTCTCTCTCAAATAAATAAAAATAAAAAAAAAAATAAAGACAATGGAGTATACTTCTATGTAAAACGAAATTATGTTACAAGAAAATGGACACAAAATCATCCTATTGCAAAGTAAGCTGGGCTAAAGAAGACAACTGTACATCTTCCCTCGTATGTGGAACCAGAGATGACATGAACATATAAGGAGACTATTAGTAGGTAAGAGAATGTGGGAAGGGTGAGCAGCATCAGAGTACAAAGGAAGATTCCAGGAGAGATGGGGGAGGGATTAAGCTACCACTAAGAAATCGTGACACTGACATGGATTTACTGAAGTGAAAGGGTGTCCAACACACTCCAATAAAGGACATAGCAGGTTACAAAGCAGTATACAAGGCACTACCAATTTTTTATTTTCAAAAATGCATTAATGTACAGAGATGTCAAGAAATCATCTGGAATGGTGCTCATGCAACTACCTCCATCTGTATCTAGGAATGAGATGCTGAGCACATGTTTCTTCTTAAGAATGTTTTTTACCTTGTGCTACATGAAATGTTTCTAAGAGGAAGAAATTAAGAATTGCTGTAAGCCTGGGAGCTGATGGATATGTTAATTAGCTTGATTGTAATAATCATTTCACAATGCATAAGTCAAAACACCACCTTCAATATATATGGTTTTGTCAATTATAGTTTAAGGGGATAAAGCCTCACTTTTCCTTAGAGATGTTGTTGGCTGCATTATGACTTTTGTTGCTGTTTCATCTGGAAATTAATTTCTATGAGTACTTCCACATCACAAAGATTCAGGCTCTAACTATAAAAACTCAGTATCTTTACAGGTTACTGGTCTTGGCTTTCCTCTTATCCTTAAGTCTCTATTATTAAACATCCCTACCTATCAATACATGGGATCCACAATAAACTGTTACTGCTACAGTCCTGCTGCCCTCCTCAAGACTCTGGAAAATGCTTTGTACGGAGCTAAGGGCTAAAGTTTTTAGCCCTGCTTGCTTAACAGAAAGTCCACCAACCTTTAGGCGCCAGGTCTGTGGCAGACGAGATTCTACAGAAAAGCTGCTGAAAACTCCCTTCACCTGCACAATGCTTTGTCTTTGCTCATAAACTGACAGAATAACATAATATTTTAAATCTCCATATCCAGAAAATGATATTCAAATCATTAATTTACACTCAACAGTCAATTACAGAGTTTTATCCAAGATTCACAAACTTGTCAGACAGAAAAATATATAAATGATTTGTCTTTTTCTTGACTTGTGTAATGAAGAAAAAAAAAATGAGAAAATTTAAAAATTAAAAAATAAGTAACACCGACCAACCAGGAGGACAGCTCCTGCTGTTGTGTGATCACAGGCATTTTGTGCTCTTCTGAGTTTAGCTGATCACGGCCTAGATTCTACTTAACAGCAAACTCATCCCCTCTAAATCACTTGTGCACAGCCTGGTGTAGAGGCACTTCCTTTCCATCTGCTTGTTGTAACAAACAGAGTTGGAAGCTGGGAGTACTGGAGAGGACTGCTTCAGGAAGGAACGTACCACTGCACCCCTTTAACACCCACCTAAAGGTAACATAAGGACTTCCAAGGCCCTAAGTGCCCTCAGGTGTGATGGGCTCCCAGCTGTATTTCCAGAATCAGTGTGCTCTAGTTGTACAGTGTTTTTTGTGCCCTAAGGTGCTGAGCTGCTGTCCTAACATTCAGTGAGTATTCACTGTTTATTTA